CATATTTAACATGTTTAACGTGTTTGACATGTTTAACGTGTTTAACGTGTTTAACATGTTTAACGTGTTTAACATGTTTAACATGTTTAACGTGTTTAACGTGTTTAACATATTTAACATGTTTAACGTGTTTGACATGTTTAACGTGTTTAACATGTTTAACGTGTTTAACGTGTTTAACATGTTTAACGTGTTTAACGTGTTTAACATGTTTAACGTGTTTAACATATTTAATGTGTTTAACATGTTTAACGTGTTTAACGTGTTCAATGTGTTCAATGTGTTTAACGTGTTTAACGTGTTTAACATGTTTAACATGTTTAACGTGTTCAACGTGTTTAACATGTTTAACGTGTTTAACGTGTTTAACATATTTAATGTGTTTAACATGTTTAACGTGTTTAACGTGTTTAACATATTTAACGTGTTTAACTTGTTTAACGTGTTTAACAGGTTTAACATGTTTAACGTGTTTAACATATTTAATGTGTTTAACATGTTTAACATGTTTAACGTGTTTAACATGTTTAACGTATTTAACGTTTAACATGTTTAACATGTTTAACGTGTTTAACGTGTTTAACAGGTTTAACATGTTTAACATGTTTAACGTGTTTAACATATTTAATGTGTTTAACATGTTTAACATGTTTAACGTGTTTAACATGTTTAACGTGTTTAACATGTTTAACGTATTTAACATGTTTAACATGTTTAACATGTTTAACGTGTTTAACGTGTTTAACAGGTTTAACATGTTTAACATGTTTAACGTGTTTAACATATTTAATGTGTTTAACGTGTTTAACATGTTTAACGTGTTTAACATGTTTAACGTGTTTAACATGTTTAACGTATTTAACATGTTTAACGTGTTTAACATGTTTAACAAGTTTAACGCTGGGTTCTGATGGACACCCACAGCGGCGTCCTGCAGCAGGTCCTCCAGACGGGTCACTGTCACAGAACGGTCACACGTGTACTTCCTCTTCATCACRTCCTGCATCTTCTTCATCCTCTCCTCTGCCTCCTTCACGTCAGAGAAAAACTGCAGGAAGAAGGAGGAGGAGGTGAAGGAATCCGGTCCAGKCTCACAGCCTCTGGTTCTGGTTGGGGGGACCTACCTGGAAGTGGGCCGTGTTCTCCTTCAGGTGGGTTTCGATGCAGCAGCAGAGCTGAAGGATCCAGCTCCACTGAGTCTGCAGGGCAGCTGTGAAGGACTGAGGAGGAGAACCAACCGTTAGGATCAGAACCAGACTGAAGCAGAACCTGGGGTTCTGTTGACAGGAGGCGGTCTCACCTCGATGGTCTGCCTGGCAGGATGTCCGTCTCTCAGCAGCTTGTCTCCGGTGGTCTGAACCGTGTTGACCTTCTTCTCTCGGAGCTCCAGCTCCCTCATCAGACCCTGCAGCACAGAACCAACAACCAGAATCAGAACCTGGACCTTAGAACACCAGAAGGTTCTGATGGCTCGGGAACACATCCGGCACCGAGTAGCTTTCTTTCTTGGAGGCCATGTTGGTGTTGCGCTCGCTCCAGTCGTAGTTGACCTCCTCCTCCTCCTTCTCGTTCAGCCACATCAGCTCTTTGGTGGCGGCGCTGACGAAGGCGTGGAGCTCCACCAGGGAGCGCAGCCGGGCCTTCGAGGCGTTCTGCACGGGTCCAGATCAAATGTTTTATCAACTGGTAATACTCAGACTTAAGGTCCGATGGAAAGCTTTGGTTCTGAAACGTACCAGCAGCTTCCCGTACTGCAGCTCCAGYCTGCCCAGGTAGTCTCGGTACGCAGCTTTACTGGCCGGAGAGATCTGAGTCTGGATCAGAAACACAGGTTCAACAACAGCTGCCTGCYACAACAAAAGGTTCTGGTTCTGGTTCTGTCCAGCCCACCTCGTCGGCCTTGGCCCTCTCGATCTTGGAGCGGAACTCCTCCACGGATTGGTGCAGGCCTCGGTGGCTGCCCAGCTGGGACTCCACGTTGGGCAGGTCAGAGCCCCACTCGCCCTCGTCCACCCGCCGCTGGTTCTCCTCCACCCAGCCCAGCAGGTCGTGCACGTAGCGCAGTGTGACCTCGTCCAGCTCGGGCCGGGCTCTGGACGAGCTCTGCTGCAYGACCTGGGTCACGGGGACCTGGCTCATGGGGATCTGGCTCATGGGGATCTGGGTCATGGGGATCTGTGTGACGGTCACGCCGGACTTGAGGCGCAGGTTGTACTCGCTGCGGAGGTTGACGAGCCTCTCGTGGAGACGATACACTCTGAAACACAACATTCACCTGAATGAAGAATAACTGATRAACTAACGAGTCCTCAGGTAATCACAACAGCTGTTCACCTGCGGTACATCTGTTCCGCCTGCAGGTGGCGCCCGTCTTTCAGCAGCTGGACGTCGTTGAACAGGAAGCGGATCATCTCTTCTGCTTTCTCCAGATCAGCCTCCACCTCTGCTGTGTTCTGAGCCGGCCTCCCAGAACCCATCATCCTCACACCCTGCAGCACGGAGGACACATTACAGCTGCTATTAGCTAACAGCTAACAGACTGATAACAGCTAACAGCTAACTGCCACACAGACTACTAACAGCTAACAGCTAATAGCTGATGGAATGCAACTGTTTAGCAGCATCACTTGTTGTGCATGAGGCGGCCATGTTGGATTCTGACAGGGGGCGTGCACAGAACAGGAAGTGACATCGTGTCAACAACAGCTGAAGCCTCACCGTCTGCAGCAGAGTCTCCACCTGGTTCAGCTGCTCCTCACAAACACCCGACTCCATCTGGACCTTACTGACGATCCTCTGGAGCCGCTCCAGTCTGAGAGAGAGAGAGAGAGAGGTCAAAGGTCAGACGGCACCAGAACCCAACAACCTGCCGGGCTGGAGTGGGGCGTTGGGACTCACTCCGTCCTCCGGCGGAACAGAAAAGAATATCCCTGCTGCAGGAAAGCCATGATGAGTCTGATCGCTGCAACTAACTTCTTCTAACTCAGCCTGTCTGCAGCTCCACCCTGCCTGCCTGCCATGTGATTAAAGATGTTTTTCTGATTTTTTACGAGGGACAGTGACCATGGAGACCAGACGGTGTCACGTGTTCAGTCTGATCCTCGCCGACAAAGAGACTTTAATGTTGTTAGCTGTGTGGGATTCATGGTGAGCAGAGGCGCCGTCCTCGTGGTCAGACTCAAACACTTTGTGGTTCTTTCAACAGACAGCATGTGATTCTGTGGTTCTGAWTCTGTGGTTCTGTTTGTGGCCCGGTTACCGCTCAAACTCTGTCCTGAGGAGACGCTCCCGCTCCAGGATGGCCACGTGCAGACGGCCCCACTCCTTCTCCACGTCCAGAGGATGGTACCCTGGAGGAACCTTCACCTGACCCACCTGGACCGCACCCTGCACAGGTAAACAGAACGTACCCGGGTCAGAACATCACACAGAACGTACCCGGGTCAGAACATCACACAGAACGTACCCGGGTCAGAACATCACACAGAACGTACCCGGGTCAGAACATCACACAGAACGTACCCGGGTCAGAACATCACACAGAACGTACCCGGG